ATCAATTTTAACATTTACGAAAAATACTTGCTTTAATGAATTTGCGAACGAATTTATGAACGAAAGACAAAAGGCTGAATTAGAAGGAAATAAAGGAAAAAGTTTATTTTGCAAGATTTCACTTAATGGATCATATGGTTACGATGCAATGAATACACAAAATTACGCAAAGACTAAAATAATGAATGCACAGAAGGCACGCGTTGCATGTATGTCAAATAAGTTTAAAAACATAAGAGAAATAGGTGAAGATACGTATCAAGTGATGCTCAAAGATAGATTTTATAGATGTGATACATGTTTACAAGAGGCATTCTTCACTTTAGATAATGCAAAATACTGGTATTTGGTTTTCATTTATGATTTTATGTATAAATGCATGGATGTTAATCGTTTTCATTTCATTGAAGGTGATACTGATTCATCTTATTGGGCAATCGCTGGCGACCCAAATCTTCCTAACACTCAAGCATTTCAAGCAATTGTTACCGATAAACAATTTTATGATAAAAACATTTACAAATTCGCACCTTTTGATTTCTTCTGTTTTGATGAGAAATTTAAACCTAAATTAAAGAATAAAGCTGAAGAAAAAGCACATGAGAAGAAGTTATTGGGTTTAGCAATTGAGAAACAAGGTGATAACATGGTTGCTTTATGCCCTAAGTGTTATACTTCATTCAACGGTTCAATTGATGGAGGTGATTTTAAAAAGATTGCACAAAAAATGAAAGGTGTTAGTTTACGACAAAATAAACAATTAACACCTAAAAATTATTTGGATATAATAAATGATAAAGTGATATTTGATGGTCAGAATATTAATTTACAACTTAAAAAACGGGTCAATGACTCGCTTAACAATTGGTAAGACTGCATTAACAGGAGCACACACTAAGGCTGTATGTTGTGAAAATGGATGTTGTATGCCATTTATTTAATGAAATGCCACAGAAGAGACAAAAGGAACCGTTAATAATGGTTTTGATACTATGATTCAAAGAGGTGGGCACCTTAAAACATTTATTTTATATTTTATATAAATGGATAACACAGATTTAAAAATTTTAATTGATGATTTAGTATTTTATCAAAATTTTCTTGATTATTATGATTTAAAAGCATATCTCCAAAAATATAATAAAAATATAACGGGTGATGATATGGATTATTATTATTCGTATTATAAAAATGAAGTTTTGAAATATCATGATAAAATAATTTCTAAAATTAAAGACAAAATTAAAAATAATGAATATACAAAGGGAAAAACTAAATCACAGCTTAAACAGTTGAAAGATTTCAAAAATAAAGTATTAACAGAAGAAGATATTGATGGATTATATAATTTATATAATCCCGAGCCACAAAAGCCAAAGGAACAAAAACAAATGGTACAAAACGCCCAGGTCCTTCAGACCATAAATGATGCACAAGCTTTAATTTATGATTCATTAGTTAAACCATATTCAGCCCGACTTTTAAATGAAGATCAACTTTTGGAATTCATCCTTCAACATAAACTCGAAGCGGGAAAGTATATCAAACCTTTATATACAGCATATTTAAAAAAATGAATAGAATACATCCAGAATTAATGAAAGGAGGAATGAAATCCAAAATCAAAGCAGATAAAATTAAACCACTTACAACACCAAAACCTCCAACGACAGTAGTACCTCCTCCTTCAGTTAATCCTTCATCATTCACTTTATTATATCCATTTCAAACATTTAAGAAGCAAAAAGATTTTAAAAAGGATTTCAAGATATTAAATAAACCAATTGACCCAAAAATTCAACCGTTAAAGGAAAAATTTAGTCGCCCTTCATTTGCTCCATATCCATATTCATACGAAATTGATCATCTGGAATATTCAAAAGGAAACGTTACTTATTTATTTGCCATTAACATTAACACTAGATATTTATATTGCATTCCGGTGAAAGGGAAAACAGAACAGGAAACAAGAAGAGCTATACAATACTTACTAGATCATGAAAGAGTAGATAATATCAGGGGTGATGGTGATAAAGGATTTCAGGCAGCTATGGCTCATTATTTCCTACAAATTAATTTTTACTTTTCATCCTCTCCATATACGTTTCATAATAAAATAGTTGATGCGGTAATGAGAACTCTTAGAGATGCGTTAGGGGTTAACGGTCAGATATACTGGGATGGAAATCATGACTCCATCATACAACAGTTAGTATATTATTACAATAATACATGGCATAGAACTATAAACATGAAACCGGTGGAAATGAAAAATGATATTTCAAAAGAATGGGAATATATTAGAAAGCAAATGGAAAGGTTAAATGATGTTAAACGTGAACAAATTAATTCGGGGCTCATGAATTTTAAACAAGGAAATAAAGTTTTAATTCATCTCGATTATGGAAAAACTGATAAATCAATGACAAAAAGAAGACGAAGATTTGACACAATAGCTGAATTTGTTAGATATATTAACGGCAATGCATTAGTTGAAGTTGACAATAAATTAATAGAAATTCCGATTTATTTTATTACTCCATTATATTTAAATAATATTTAATTTTTTTATTTCGTAAGAAAATGAGTGACAACGAAGCAGTCAAGAGTCCAGACGATGAATATAAAAAGAAACTAAACAGAATTAAATCAAAAATATGCTATTACAAAAAGAAGTCGCAATGCAGTGGGGTTGAAAACGATAAAGAAATAATCGAAAAATTAGAAACTTACCGTTCAATCCTTAAACTGAGTGAAGCAAAAATAAAAGAATTTAATAGAATAAATAAATTGATTGGAAGAGATGAATTTAATAAAGATGAATTTTTAAACTCAATCCAAATTTAATTTTTATTCCTCTTCGACAACATCTCTCTTTCCATCATTACTGCATAACCACATTTTCTCAATTTTAGTGGTTTGTTATTTTTAACATGTTCTTGCATCATTTTTATCATTTCCTCCCTTGTTATGATTCGTGGTAAATTTTGAGCTTGTGGGGTATTCATTTATGATAAAAATAAAAATTTGTTATCAGTTATTTTATCGTTAATGTTTTTAGGTTATTCAAAAATAATTAATTATTGAATAACTGAAGGTGTCACTACGTCACCATGTGTCACTCGGTTAATTAACTTCTCTTAAAATTACTGACAACATGACATTTTGACAACACAGCAGGATTAATGCAAAAATAAATTCAAATCATACTTTATAAAGCTTCATTTACAGGTATTTCATCGTCAGTAAATGAATCCTCATTATCGTTTGGTTCAACCTGTTTATATAATCCTTTCATTTCTTCTTTCAAAACATAACACCATGTTTGTTTACCATCTATTCTTCTCTGTTTTCTTATCACATTTATCTTTAATGCTCATTTGAAAGTTTTTGTCTTTCATGTCTGATGGTTTGCAGAATAGAGCATTTTTACATGTCATACCTGCACACAATTCATCATAATGTGTATTTATCCATACATCTAAAGGATTTTGATTTTTAATTCAATTAAATCTTGTTTGGCTTCAGTCATCGGTATGATTCGTACATTAAATGATGAAAGGTCATATTGCATAAAATATGTTAGTAAATTATCATAAAATTCCTTAGTGCATGAATCCATTAAATTCTTGAAGTAATCAAATTGACCCTTAAATTTACCATTAACTCTTAAAACTACGTATCTTCTGTCTCCAACTTCAATTTTGACAGGGTAAACGTTATTAGTTACGAAAATGAAGTTTGCAACGTTCTGTGCTGTTCTTCTGGGTTGATTCTTTTCATTAATTCTAATCTCATTATCCGTTATAATTGATTTCAAAGCGTTGAAGTTTGCGAGTCTATCTTCACCTACATTCTTGAGTTCATTAAGTACAAGAAACATTTTATTCTCAACTACTGAATTGAAATTACCCGTTAGCTCACCTATTTCGGTAATGTTTTTGCATGAATAACCAGCGAGAAGTTCAGAAATAATGTCTGTAAATCTGTTTTTACCTGTTCCCTGAAGTCCTTTCAAAATAATTGCTGTTTCATTCTTGATTCCAGGATGTTGAATCATTGATGCAATCCAGCCGAGTAGGTATTTATACACTTCATCGTTATTATCACAAATGGCTTCTTTAATGAAATTCATAAACATCTCAATTTTTGAGTAATCTGGTTTTCGAGAACGTTGTATTTATAACCTTGAAACGTTGAGAAAACATCTGGAGAATCAGATTTAAAGCAAACACCCTTAACGGTTAATGAAGACAATTGATTTAGTAGTACATCCCATGCTGTTATGGTTTTACCTTCTTCTTTAAATAATTTAATCATTTTGAGTGACTCTTTCATGTTTGATTGAAGAACGAATGATATTTGATTCATTTTATCGTGTATGTTGTAATCTTTTTGAATGAAATATTTATTTCCACAATCTACAAAACGGATTACACGTGATAAATCCTCAATTACTTCAGAACTGTTTTTATACTGATGATTTTCAGCCTTGCGTCTAATATCTGTTATCAAAAACGAGTCATCAAGTTTGATATCAAATGTTATTTTTGGCTTACGTAATAAAGGTAAAACATATTCATCATAATATTCCTTTTGGTATAGTTTTAGAATCTTCACTAAAACAAATGGAGAAGTCATTAAATGTGCATATCTACTACGTGCTTTTTCAAAATTACTTTTTGCATTTTCTGTTAAGCTGCAAAAGTTATAAACGTTATCGTATGCTTCATTAATTAAATGATTAGGTAACGAATTAATTGCTTGAAACAGTGTGAATAATGTAACTTCTTTTTCTAAATTCATATTTCCACCGTCATTATGTACTTCAAAATCACTAATACCATCAACTATGCTCTGGGCAAGTTTATCGTCAATGTTTACATTTTTGTTTTCATTCATGATAGTCTTTATTTCTTCGTTCTTCTGTTCAACTCTTACCTTAATATTCAAATCATTTAATATATCATTCACTGTTCTGGTTATGGTCGAGTCGTAACTTCCACGAATGAATGAGTATGTATTGATTGGTTCTGTTGCATTCTTGCGAACTCTTGAATCAGCCATAACTACTAAAGAACGCTTTGAATCATCCATAGAAGTCATTATATCAATATCGTAATCATTGCAGGAATAGCATTTAATCATTCTGTTCGAAACTGAATAGAAGAAATTAGTGTTACAATAAATGTGAAGACCTCCTGAAGCGGTTTTAACGATAACATCTTTATCCAAAAGTTTTGATAAAATGTCTTTTCTAACTGTTTCTTTAAGTTCATCATTGTATGATTTATTGATATCAACATCTATAATCGTTAAATTTGAAATTTTATTTACTAATAAAGCCATACCAGTTTTCCTTCCTCTTCCTCCATCGTGTTTGAGGTAGTTATGTAAATCAATCTTGTTTTCACCAATTCTTTCGTTGAGGGTTTTAGTTTCTGCCACAACTAATTCCTCAGCTAATGAATCAATAACTTTTTCATCAGAAACGATATAGTTGCTGTTGTTGTTTGTTGCTGTCATTTATATAGGAATAAAAAAATAAAAATAATTTTAAAACTAACTTTATTTTTGGGCTGCATCAAATTTCCAGGACTGTTGTCAAAATGTCATGTTGTCACATTTTTTCAGAGAAGTTAATTAACCGAGTGACACATGGTGACGTAGTGACACCTTCAGTTCTTCAAAAATAAGTCATAACTGCCTTCCTCCTATGTTGTTGTCAAAATGTCATGTTGTCACATTTTTTCAGAGAAGTTAATTAACCGAGTGACACATGGTGACGTAGTGACACCTTCAGTTCTTCAAAAATAATTAATTATTGAATAACTGGGAAATAAATTTACGTCAAATATGCAATTTATAAAATCTTATGTCGACAGGCTACGTAGCACAGTGGTCTAAGGTGGTGTTATAGAGGGGTCAGGGTCTGTGGTTCGAACCGCGACGGCGCCGTATTTTCTTATTTTCTTTGTTTGTCTTGTTTGTCGTGAATAAAAAGTGTCATAAAAGTGCTCTATCTTCCACGGGAATAAATAAAAAATTTACTTTATTTCTTCTTTATTTCTTTGTTCCCGTGGAAGAAGGGTTTTGCTGTTTTTCTCAGCCAAAATCAATGATTTTTTCATTTTTGGGGAATTCAGCAACAAAATGAACGAGGTCAGGATGTATGTAAATACATTTGAATTCATTCATAACACCATTAATAAGCTCATAAAATGCTCGTTGAGGGAGCCATTTTGGCTCGACCGGTATTCTTTCATCCAAAACTCATAAACAATTATTGAATAACCCAAAACCATTACCTAATTAATTACAGACATAAAATATATTTAGTTCATTCGGTAAGCCCAGACCTTTGGGTCAAGCACATTCATTGAACTCTATACCATGCGTAAACTGTCATAAATGGCGGCATGTAATCTTTACTTTGTCCCGTTGTTTGTGTATATCCTGAAACGCGATGTGTATGGTTTCCTCCTCCCTCAGTGTTACTCCAGTAACAATCTATAGCAAACTTAACGTTGTCTTTAACATCATATCCTTTACCTTTTATCATTGCTGACCAATCCCAATATCTATGCTTATGCCAACCCGCTTGAGATGTACTTAAATCTATGTAGTGACTATGTGCAGGTAAATTTTCACCTGAAATCGTTTTACTTCCTCCTGTTTCCTTTGAAGAGTTTGCACAATACAAAACCTGTCAACTATTTGTTCCCACGTACCGAAACCCAGAACTGTTGCTGGATTTGTTGAGTTCATTGACGTATAAATAGAGCCTATAGGATATAATGTTTGAAGTATTTCAGTCTTTAATGTTTGAAGCTCTGTTTTGTCTGCTTCTTGTCATATAAATCTTGAGCAGTGAATTTAATATTATGTTCATCCTTCATGACATAAACATCTTTACATCTAATGTTCTCATCGTCGTTATGTCGTCATCCGATGTTAAACCTTTGTGGAAAGTTAGGAGGTTTACAATATAATACATCCCCACCAGTTTCTTCAACCGTTCCTTCAATACTTTCTATAGCAACAGTTGTAAAACTTGTATGTGTATGGTTCTTATCTGCCTTCTTCATTAATTCACTAGCCACAAGTCCCTTATCTGCTTTCTCCTCTAACTCACTTACCACATATTCCTTATCTGCCTTCTTCATTATGTCATTTAGGAAACCTTTTATGAATTCCTCATTTAAATTAAATCTTCCAATCTTCAAAACTTTAGGAAATGCATTTAATGCGTAATATCTTTGTTCTTCTGGTGGAATTGATGTTATATCATCCGTTATACCTTTAATTTTTGAATTCATAAATAAAATTTCTTTTATATTTGATATCACTGCACCACCTTTGCAAACGAATTCGAAATGGTCATTTTTCAATACTATCTCCAAATCTCCATATTTCAACATTTGCGTTTGTTCTGCCGTCTTTGAATTATATGCATATATGGCGTATGTAATGGTCTGCGCCTTAAGTTGTTGTGGTTGCTGTTGTTTAATCATTTATTATGATTTAAAATAAATATTTAATCCGTTATCTCATCAGCTATTTTTTCTATTTGAAATTGCCATAATATTTCATTCATGAATTCTAAATCACAATCAAATAGGTCAGTTATTCTAAATTTAATATTTGATAAATCTTTTGAATGAAGAATAAATGAATTCCCGGATAATTGAAACGGATATGATAAAGAAAATATGTTTAATGATGGATAATGTTTTGTATTGATGGGTAAGAGTTAGGGTCTAATGTTTGATGTGAAAATCTCATTGGGGTATTAACTTTATCACATTTGATTAAAATGAAATTGGAACCAGTGTCAGAATACAAAACATCCCCAGCATCTTTTTCAAAATTTAATATCCCCAACAATGAACGAAGATGAGGAGTACAAAATTTAATTTTCAGCGGGAATTTAATAAGGTTATTTATTTCATCAAGTTCAAAAAGTTTATCAGGTTTTGATTTAAAATTTTCTTCATACCATATGATAAATGATTCATTTAAATAACTTAAAATCATGTTAATATCCCATTTCGTTATCACATTATTTATATACATATCATATGTTTTTTCAAGGTCATCTTTAATAAATGATATATAATCTGAAGGGTCTAAAAGAATGGGATTAAATTTACCACTCACAGAAACGAGAGTAACATTATAAATTCCGCTAACTGTTAAATTTAATTCACAGTTATTATTCGAAATAATATTGATAATTGACATTTTTTATTACGATTAAAAATATGGTAAAGCGTTATTTTCCAGTGATAAATAAAACTAGAATAAGATTACCTCAAGAATTCATAAATTCAACGAATAAGAAATTCATTCATGTTATAAATTTTAGTGTTTTCAGAAAATATGAGTCAATGTCATATTCATCATCGGGTTATATTTCACTTCATTCAAATTTAGTTCAATCAAACCCATATAATGACCATTTCATAAGATTTTCAGATGGTATTAAAAATGCAATTGATAGATTAAAATATGAACAGATTGACAATATCGAATTTTTGGAATTTTGGTTTAAATATCCTGATGGAAAAAAGATTGAAGTTAAAGATAAAGCTGATACTATAACAAAAACAATTACAATGACCGATCCAGATAGTGGGGAACAAAAGAAATAAAACAAACGATAGAAACTGGTGAAAGGTCAATTATTATTGATTATGATTCAAAGGATTATTATTCAATAATGTTAATGCTTGAATATTAAATGGCCTTAACAAAGAATTTTTCAAGTGATATTTTATATTCATCAACTATTTTATTATAAATATCATTATAAGTTAAATGAAGTTCAGTTGTTGTTCCGTTCTTTGATATCTTAATTGTGCTAATATCCTTTATAGGATTTATTTTTGCAACTGTTCCGCAGCATGAAACCTCATCATCTATGAAATATTGAATCTTCACGTCTGAATCTTGAACATCACAAAGAATGGCGATAATGTGAATTAATGATTCATAAGGTAAAATAATTAAACCGGATTGGTCAATTAAATTTATTATTGAATCATAATTATCAGTTATTATATCACGGTAAATTTTCATTAATTCAGAATTAATGTCTATTTTATATGGCGCATTGCGACTGTAATCGTAGATTCCTGGGTTCTCGATGTTTGATGAAAGAGGTGGGGGGTATGTTGGATATGTGGGGATTTCAACGGGTTCTTTACCGGGTTCAGATAAAATGATTGGGTCTCCATTCTCCTCATTCTTTGGTAAGTCACGAGTTAATAAATTTGGTTGAGTTGCTGACTTTGTTAATTCAGGGCTAACATTAACTTTAACATTTTGAATAATTCGTGATTTATCATCATTTACATTATAACCAACCGTAATCTCTGCTTTTGCGTTTGTGTTCTTTTGACTAGTGAAACGTCTTCTCATTTATAATTGAATAAAAAAAGAAAAATATATTTAAAGTTTTATTTAGTTGTTACGGTAATATCCCAAGGTTCATCATTGTTTGCTTATACTTTCTTTGTAACTGCACAATTATGTTATTGATATTGCTTTGAGTTTCTTCCAGTCTTATTTTATCATTTACAATATCTTTAATCATTTCATTACATGCATTCTTAAAACCATCTGATTTTTCTAATTTACGTCTATCACTTTCTTTAATTAAATCAAAGTTATAACCTTGTTGAGAATAAAGTGGTTTCTTTATCAATTCCTTGAACGCTTCTGAAAGTGAAGATGAAGAAATTCTTGCCACTTGAATTGGTTTAAATTCTGCTTTCATTGCTTCTTTCTGTTCATTGAACACTGGATCGAATAAAGCAACTTTAAAGAATTTCTTAGCTGGAATTTCAGGTCTCAAATTTGCATATTGACCATCAAACTGATTAACATATCGTGGTAATCCATCCGGTCCCTCTTCAATAGCGTTTAATTCTTCATTGAAATAAGAATATGGATTATGACGGTATGAATTAATTGGACCATGTTCACCTTCTCCAATGTATTGTTTAACAGCTTTTCCATTTTCATCAAATTGCATAGGATAACGTTCATTATATGCTTTACGTTTAGGATAATCAGATATAGTTAATTTATACCCATTTATGACTTTAATATTACTTGACCATCAGTAACGAAAACTTCATTTATACCATCAGGTTTTCCATTTGGACCCGTAATGTCTGCTTCGTGTGCTTCCCAATTTGGACCATGACGTTTGGCATATGCTTGAGCTTCTGGTAATGTTAAAACGTTTCTCATTTGTTTAACATCTTTTTGAAGACCAGCAACAATATGAACTAATTCTTTCATTCCGTCTGGAACTTTCATAGTTCTATTATATGCACCCTTTTTGTTTGTCCCTTGTTTTAATGGAACCTGTAGAAGATTTGCTATTTCTGTCATGTTTAATTATAAATAAAAAATAAAAATTAATTATAAAAAGTTAATCAAATTTAACACCTCCTTTATTTAAATCAACTATTATTTTTCCATGTTCACCTAATTGCTGATATTGTGTGTAAAGT